TCTGAATTTTCCTCCTTAGAAGAGAGGTTAACCATCTTTTGATGTGCTATGGACAATTTGAGTTTTACTTCTCTGAATTGCCTATTCACATTCTTTTTATTTATTTTTAATTTTTTTGAGACTGAGTCTCGCTCTGTTGCCTATGCTGGAGTACAGTGGCTCAATCATACAACCTTAAACTCCTGGGCTCAAGTGATCCTCCCACCTCAACCTCCCGGGTAGCTGGGACTACAGGTGTGCAGCACCACGCCTGGCTATTTTTAATGTTTTGTACAGATGTCTCACTATGTTGACTTGGCTGGTCTCAGACTTCTGGCCTCAAGTAATCCTCCTGCCTTGGCCTCTCAAAGTGCTGGAATTACAGGCATGAGCCACTGTGCCTGGCCAATTCACATTCTTTGATAATTTTTTTTCCATTGCATTTTTGTCTTTTCCTTAATGGTTTTCCCCATATATATGCCTTACTCTAATCTTTTGAAAGTTTTTTGAATTGTAAACATTTTCTCTTGGTCTTTTAACATAGTTTATGGTATTTTTTCTCACATAGGAATTTATTTTAGGCTGGGTGCAGTGGTTCATGCCTGTAATCCCAGCACTGTGAAAGGCCAAGGCAGGTGGGCGGATCGCTTGAGCCCAGGAGTTCAAGACCAGCCTGGGTAACATGGCAAAACCCTGTTTCTATTAAAAATGCAAAAAAGTTAGCCTGGTGTGGTGGCATGTGCTTGTAGTCCCAGCTAGTAGGGAAGCTGAGGTGGGAGGATGGCTTCAGCCTGGAAAGTGGAGGTTACAGTGAGCTGAGATTGCACCACTGCACTTCAGCCTGGGCAACAGAGTGAAGAGTGAGACCCTGTCTCACAAGAAGGAAGGAAGGAAGGGAGGAAGGGAAGAAAGGGAGGGAGGGAAGGAAATTTTAATTTATCATCTTTATGTTCATTTATGATGTAAGTTTTTCATGCCTTAAAATCGCCTTCCCTCCTCCAAAGTTATAAATGTATTCTCCTCTACTATATTCCAAAATCTTTATTATTCTGCCTTTCACTTTGATAAGTTTAATCCACCTGATATGTATTTATGTATATAGTGAGAAATAAAGATCTAATTTTTCTCTATATGGTAACTAATTGACCTAGCACCACCTATTGAATAGTCCAGCTATTTCCTGCTGCTTTGTGTGTTCTATCACATACCAAGCTCTCCTATGTGTTGCTCTCTGTTCCATTGAACTTTAGATTTATTTATGCTCTAATACCATACCGTCTTAATTCCTCCTCATTCTTATTTTCTTTTTTCAAATTCATTTTGCCTATTTTTGGCCCTGAACTCTTCGATGGGCATTTTATAATCAAATGTCAAATTCCACAAAGCACTCATTGAGATTCTGATTATAAAATGTTAACTTTATACATTAATTAGGGAGCATCACCTGGTTATAATATTGAGTTTCCCTTCAAGAACATGATTTATTTCTTCTATTTTGTATTCATTGATAAAGTCTCATAATTTTTTTCATATAAGTCTTAGACATATTTTGTTAAATCTATTTCTGGGTACATTATGGCTTTTGTTGGGACTACAATTTAGATATTCTTATTATATTTTCTAATTGGTTATTGCTGACACAGAAAAGCACTATATTTTATTTTATTTTGTTTTATTTTATTTTGAGATGGAGTCTTTCTGCGATGCCCAAGCTGGAATGCAATGGTGTGATCTCAGCTCACTGCAATCTCTGCCTCCCAGGTTCAAGTGATTCTCCTGCTCCAGGCTCCTGAGTAGCTGGGACTACATGCGTGCACCACCACGCCCAGCTGATTTTTGTGCTTTTAGTAGAGACGGGGTTTCACCATATTGGCCAGGCTGGTCTCAAACTCCTGACCTCAAGTGATCCGCCCGCCTTGGCCTTCCGAAGCACTGGGATTACAGGCACGAGCCACCGTGCCAGGCCAGAAAACACTATTGATTCTTGAACATTGACTTTGTGTCCATCAGTCCTGAAGAACTCTCTTATAAGTATTGATAGGCTGAGCAAAGTGGAGCATACCTGTAATCCCAGTACTTTGGGAGGCCAAAGTGGGCGGATCACAAGATCAAGAAATAGAGACCATCCTGGCCAACATGGTGAAACCCCGTCTCTACTAAAAATACAAAAATTAGCTGGGTGTAGTGGTGTGTGCCTGTAATCCCAGCTACTCAGAAGGCTGAGGCAAGAGAATTGCTTGAACCTGGGAGGTGGAGGTTGCAGTGAGCCGAGATTGCACCACTGTACTCCAGCCTGGTGTCAAAGTGCGACACTGTCCCAAAAAAAAAAAAAAAAAAAAAAGTGTTGATAAAATGTCAAAAGATTGTGTTGAATATCCTCTGTAGACAATTATGTTATTTGCATATAATTATTATTTTATTTATTTCTTTTCAATTCCTATGCTTTTATTTCTTATCTTACTGCATTGTTTAGGACCCCTAGAACAATGTGGAATGGATATAATATCATGTCTTGTTCTTGACTTTGAAGAAAGTGTTTCCATCTTTTTCACCATTAAGTACAACATTTGCTGTAGGTTTTTGATATTTAGGATGATCTGATCTATTTCTAGTTTTCTAAGAAGAATATTTTAAAATAAATGAGGGCCAGGCATGGTGGCTCACACCTGTAATCCCAGCACTTTGGGAGGCCAAGGCGGGTGGATCACAAGGTCAGGGGATCAAGACCAGCCTGGCCAACATGGTGAAACCCTGTCTCTACTAAAAATACAAAAATTAGCCAGGTGTGGTGGTGCGCACCTGTAATCCCAGCTACCCGGGAGGATGAGGCTGGAGAATCGCTTGAAGCTGGGAGGCAGAAGTTGAAGTGAGCCAAGATCGTGCTACTGCACTCCAGCCTGGCGACAGAGTGAGATTCCATCTCAAAAAAAAAAAAAAAAGAATGTTTTCCTATAGTTATTGAGGTGATCATTTAAGTTCCTCCATTAATTGGATATGATAGTGAATTATACTAATAGATTTCAAAAAATAAAGTATCATTCACTTCTGGGATTAACACCCCTTGATTATACTGTATTTTCAATGAACTGCAAATATTGTGTTTAGTTTTTGTATATCTATATTTATATGTGAGACAAGTCAGTAACTTTCTGTTCTGGTCCTGCCCTTGTTTGGTTTGCATATCCTCTTTTGATATTCAAGGGAGTTGCCTCCCTACTCATTCTTCAGCTCCTTACAACTCTGTGACAACAGCTCTCAAAATGACATCTAAGTGAATAAATTGACATCTAAGTGAATATATTTATTTTCCTCTAAGCCCTATGTTACAACACCTGTTGTAATCATTTGACACAATTGATCACTTCCTTCTTAAATTGCATTCTTTATTTTAATACACCACTCTCCTTTTCTTATACATCTCTGATTATTCCTTCTCTACCTTCCTTGTGGGCTCATCTTCTCCCTGGACTCTCCCTTGTCTATCACTCTACAGATGTTCCTTAAGTGATCCGAGGCATCTTCAATGTTTCAACTACCACCTGTACAGAGATGAATTCCGGTGCTGTACTTTCACACCTCTCCCCTCAGTTCTAGTATTTTCTGGCTCATTCTGGCTGTCCCAAAGGCACCCAGAACTTCACGTTTAGAATGAAATTTATCATCTTCTCCATTAAAAAAGTTTTACCTCCTGTTGACACAATCTTAGCTCATGACCCCATTAGCCATACTTGTCATCTGAAAGAGAGTTGTTTGGTAGTGTCTCTCCTTCATCTCTGAAATCTAATCGGTTACCATGCCCTGAGAGTTTAACTTCCTAAACATTGCTTGACCTGTTCCCACTTCTCCATCTTCACCATCCACACCTCAGAAAGGCCTCTCTTCATCTTTCACCTGGTCTAGAACAACAATTTGCTAACAAATTTCCTTTGTTTTGTCTACCTTAAATACAGATATAACAACAGGTGCAACTACAACCCCTTTCTAACTGTTCTCTCTCTAAATACTGAAGCAGTTTAGTTAAAACTCTACTCTTGCCCTGCCACTTTTCTGCCTCAAAACCTGTTAGCCTTTCCACATCACAGACAAGATGGTCTACACTTTTTAGAGATAATACTCAGAGTCACCACCATCTACCTTTTACCCCTTTCTGTAGCACATTTGTAACTGTTTCCAGCAAATCAAAACTTGTAGTTTCCTATGTAGTCTTTGCACTTTTCCCCTTCTATGTCTTTGCCTATGCTGTTCCTTCTGGAAGCCACATCTGCTTCTATTTCCCTCTCCTACACCTAACCTCAATCCAGTTTCCTTCCCATCAAGAATCTGTCTTGACTAATTCTTCATATCCTTAAAGATCCAACTCAGCTGTCAGCTTATTAAAAAGGCCATTCCTGGATGGGCACAGTGGCTCACATCTGTAATCCCAGTGCTTTGCGAGGAATGAGACAGGAGGATTGCTTGAGCCCGAGAGTTCAGGGTTACAGTGAGCTATGATTGCGCCACTTTATTTTAGCCTGGACTTCAGCCTGGGCAATAGAGCAAGACCCTGTCTCAAGAAAAAACAAAAACAAAAACAAAAAAAGTCACTCCTAACTCTGATCTCTTTCAAAGACTTCACTAAGTGCCTCGCTCTTCAGTGATCTCATAAAAGCCATGATTCTTTTTATATTTTGCACCTCCTACATTGTATTCCTACATTGTATCATAAGTATTTGCTTTTGTATCCCCACTGAACTGTGAACTCATGGAGAGGAACAACTGGGTTTTTTCATAGTCAAAGTTCCAGAACCTAGCAGAGTATTTGGCAGAGTATTTGTTGAATTCAATGAATAAGTGATTTAGCTGAATTGGATATGCTCTTTGCAGAAAACTTTTGGTTTTTCTATTATTTAAATTTTGGTTTTCACTAGCCTGCTCATACTACATAGATTTGATAAATTTAATTTTTATTGTTCTGGCTAACCAACTCTAAAAATAATAAAAAACAGTGATCTATCACTGTGGCCAGTATGGTCTACGTTGGAGTATGGAACCACAGGGGAAAACAGAAACAAATAAAGCAAGATAGAATGATCAAAGGAGAGGATCAAAATCAAAACACACACCACCTATTGTTTTAGTCATTTGGGGCTGGTATGACAAAGCACCACAGACTCGATGGCTTATACACAAATGAGAAATTTATTTCTCACAGTTTGGAAGGCTGGAAATCCTAGATCAGCATGCTGGCAAGGTTGCATTCTGGTGAGGGTCCTCTTCTGGATTGCAGACTACTGTCTTCTCATTGAATCCTCACATGGCAGAAAGAGGGCAAGGAAGGTTCTTTTTATAGGGGCACTAATTCCACTTATTAGGGCACCACCCTCATGACCTAATTAACTCCCAAAGACACTACCATCTAATACCATCACATTGGGGGATGACATACAAATTTGTCAGGGAGAGGACATAGACATTGTCTGTTGCACCTATCATCTCTAACGAGAGTTTTCACTGATACTATGGTGAGGAGTGATTAATATTTGTCAGCAGAATCCTATTGTCAGTGGCTCTTAGATTATTTGTGAAGTCAAATACCACCTTGCAGTTTAATAAACTCACCTGGAAACCTCATCCCAGGTCTTACAGGAAGTCGATGCTCTCCCAAACTCCCTGAGATTTTTCTGGGCTTCCCATTCTCTTGGTACCTCTGGGTTTGATTTCTGGCTTCTGCTGAATTACCATTCTTCACTCTGCAGTATCTTGCAGCTGTTCCTTTATCTTCTTTTGGCACTGACCCAAGAATGGGTTACAGCTCCTCCTCTTTGATTTCCCATCCCAAATTCATGAGAGGCAGCTGTGTGTGGTAGACTGTTCCTGGCAATTCAAAGATAATGTTTGCCATATAGGGAGGCTACATGGCAAATATGCAATACTCTTTAGCAGCCAATTTAAAACTGAAAACTTGATTTCCTTGTTCTATTTCCACCAACCCAAATGTAAGCTTCCTGACATTTTGCTCAGCCTCCTCTCCCACTCTGCCTCCTGCCTTGCCACTTCTCTCTTCTTCCCATACCTCCCAATAATTGCTTATGCAGAATGATTTTGTGATTTTTTTTCTGCTCTTGGCTCTACAGAATATGATTTTGTGATCTTTCTATTGTTTTTTCCCCCAACCTATACAGAGCCTCACCTACCACCCCTTAGGCATCTCTCAATATATTATTCTAAATAAAGACAATTACTTACCTAAAAAGAACTCATGTACCAGTTTGCAAAATAATAATTTCTATTTCCCACTACATTTCTATTTAGAGTGTGTATATATTTATGTTTCAGCTAACTATTTAATAAAATCAACATTGATCATTTTAATCCATGTGATTATTTCTTCTCATCTAAATATTTTGTTTTGTCATAAGATCTTAACACTTTAAGTCCAGGCACAGTGGCATATACTTGTAATCTTAGCACTTTGGGAAGCCAAAGTGGGAGAATTGCTTAAACCCAGGAGTTTGAAACTAGCCTGTACAACATGTTGAGACTCCTGTCTCTACAAAAATAAAAATCAGCTGGGCATGGTGGCACGTACCTGTAGTCCTAGCTACTTGGGAGGCTGAGGCAGGAGGATCACTTGAGCCCAGGAGGTTGAGGCTGCAGTAAGCTATGATGGCACTGCTGCACTGCAGCCTGGGTGACAGAGCGAGACTCCATCTCTAAACAAAACAAACCAAAACAAAACACTTTTAGTTATAGCTAATGATTGGTGCCCAAATGAGGTGATACTAAGCAACATAGATTGTCACCCCAGTGTTCAGGTTGGGACAATCAAACAAAATAGTAGTTTTTAAGAATTATGTCTGAACTGGGCCTCAAAATATTCTCAGCTCATTCTCTTTAAATAATACATGTATTTTATACGTGTATATGTGGCCAATCTGAATGGAATACTTCTGAACAACAGCAAATATTGATGGTGCCTAAACTTTTAGAATCCCAGAAATACCCTCTTTTGCAAATACCTGAATTCATTCCTTCCGGCAAATATTTGTTAAGAGCCTACTGTGGGTCAGGCACTATGGTAAACCCTGAGGACTAATGGAGAAGAAAAGAGTTGAACTCTCTGCTGTTGTGGAGCTTATGTTCTAGAGGGAAACATGGTCAATAGGAAGGAAATAGGAAGTTACATATAGTGGTAAGTTCTATGAAGAAAGTCAACACGGTGAGTTAATAAAGAACAGGTCGGGGGCGGTAGCTCATGCCTGTAATCCCAACACTTTGGGAGGCTGAGGTGGGCCCGCCTCAGCTTACAATATAACTTTATTGTAAAAATACAATAAAGTTAGCCGGGCGTAGTGGCATGCGCCTGTAGTCCCAGCTGCTTGGGAGACCGAGGCAGGAGAATCACTTGAACCTGGGAGGCAGAGATTAAGTGAGCTGAGATTGTGCCACTGCACCTCCAGCCTGGGCAACAGAGTGAGACTCTGTCTCAAAAAAAAAAAAAAACAAAAAACAAGTAGTGGGTGGAGGGAGGTACTCTTGATAGGGTAGTTTCAGATGTATTCCTTGAGCTTTGCTTGATCTGCTGAGAACTAAAAAACAAAAAGAGAGGGGGAAATCAGTTAAGATTGCATACGCATTCATTGAATTGACTGAAAAAAGAAAAGAGGCAATAGTCCTGGAAAAAGATGGTGGCTTGGACTAGGGTTGTGGCATTTGAAAGAGAAGAAAAAAGATATAGTCAAGATATATTTGGGAGGTAGATCCATAGTAATATTTGCTGGTGGATTATATATGTGGGATGTGAAAAACAAAATCAGGGATAACTTCTATGTATGTGGCTTGGGAGACTATATAGTTCATTTTGACACTAAGATGAAGAAGACTAGAAGAAGAACAGGTTTGAGTCAGTGTTCCATTATGAACCTATAGGTTTGAAATGTCTCTTGGACTTTCAAATAGAAATATTGGTTTTATGGGGAATGGTTAGGGTGTGTGATATGGTTTGGCTCTGTGTCCCCACCCAAATCTCATCTTGTAGCTCTCATAATTCTCACGTTTTGTGGGAGGGACCCAGTGGGAGATGACTGAATCACGGAGCTGGGTCTTTCCCATACTGTTCTTGTGATAGTGAATGGATCTCATGAGATCTGACGGTTTTTAAAATGGGAGTTTCTCTTCACAAGCTCTCTCTCTTTGCCTGCTACCATCCACGTAAGATGCAACTTGTTCCTCCTTGCATTCTGCCATGATGGTGAGGCCTCCCTAGCCATGTGGAACTGTAAGTCCAATAAACCTCTTTCTTTTGTAAATTGCCCAGTCTCAGGTATGTCTTTATCAGCAGCGTGCAAATGGACTAATGCAGGCTGGAAATACATATTTGGAGTAGTCAGCACACAGATGCTATTTAAAGTGTCAGAATTGAATGTGCTGTCTTAAAGAGAGAGATATACTTAGAGAAGAAGGCCTAAGACTGAGCACAGAGGCACTCCAACATATAGAGGTCAGGTAGAAAAATAGGAGACAGAAAAGGACTGAGAAGGAGTAGACAGTGAGGCAGGATAAAGCCAAGAGAGTGTGGTGCCTTGAAAGTCAAGGAAGAGTTGGTCAGCAATTAAGTTAGAACAGAGAGTCATGTCCACTACGTATTGTATACCCAGAGCAAGAATCTCCCTAGTCTATAAGCTTTCTTAGCCTGAAAATACAGGTTAGAAAGGGTTTATCACATCAACTCTTTCAGGAAAGATTTTGCATCCTAATTGGGTGCCTGAAGAGGCATCAGGTCAGGGCATGATCGTGTATTATGGGTTTTTCCAGGCTTGTGATTGAACATGCAGTGGTAGTCAGTGAACATGTGACTCTGAGCTGCCTCAATGCTGACATAAATGTGTTGGCTGATTGTTAGTAGATAATTCCAAAAGATCTCTGTGATGAGAACAAAGTGTAAAGACATGATTATAAAATTAGTATGGAAGTTTCACAATTTTCATGGTGAAAGCAGAATTGTCTTTGTTAAATTGTATCCAATTCTTTTTTGCAGAAGACATTGATCATTAGGAGTAAGGAGTGGGTACCTCTTTATCATCTTTGTGGGGTCCCTGTGGGTAAATCTAGCTCCCAATTGAAAGCAGAAGCATTGGTGGTGGAAAGAAACACAACTTTTCATTTTTATGTTACTATAAACAGTAATGACATTCTAGAAACCATTCCTGTCATTTCAAGTCCTGTGCCAATGTAGGATACAGCCATTTTGATAAAGGCTGTTTTATCATAGTCAAGTTTGCTGACACACAGCTTTGGCACAGCCATTTTGATGCCAAGAACATCTTGATGTGGCTGCCTTGATGTGGTTGTTTTGATATGGGAACATTTTGACTCTGCCTAAAAACAAATGAATAAACTTTCGCTTAGAAAAAAAGTATGTTTAAGTAATGCGCCTGAGAAATATCTTTATCCACTCCCTGAGCCCCTCTCACCCTTCAGCCCCCACGAATAGAAGCCAGACTGCACAGGTAAACAGTAGGACCCTTGAAAGGAAAAAAAATCATCACTGTAGGGGAGAGAAGAGACTGGAACAGGGGACCTGACCCAGCAACACAACCTGAAGGAAAAGAAAGATGGTTCTGGTAAAGCCTAACCGTTTTCAAACCCATCCTGACGCAGCTCCTTGAAGAAGTCATCCAACACATTCATACAACACCGAAAGAGGATCAAGGGGCTCTGCTGTAAGACAAACCTCACTCCCATTCAAGAGCTCACAGGAGCCGTGCAGGACTAGGCATTTCTCTGACAAGACATGTACCATTGAATGAAGAACAGCACCACTGAGCAGAAAGATTTAAAAAGCCACAGCACTGCACACCCAAACAGTAGGCAGCAACCGCAGACTGCCAAGTGACAGAGTTGGCGGGGGGCGCATGGAGAAATCAGATGATTGAGTTTGGGGTTGATCTAGGGTTGACATTTTGTCATTCGGGTGTAACTAGACACTAGGGCGAGGGAAGCAAAATGCCTCAGGCTTGTTGTCCCACTCACACCATTAAGGATCTAAAGTGTCCTATCTTGTTGCCTCTAGTAGTTGAAAAGAGAATATAAATTGCCTTCCTCTAAAGTAAATCCTTTTCCTCTCTAATAATTCTCTCTTTAAGCAACAATAGAACTGAAACATTTACTCTGGGAAGCCAATTAAATCATTAATATGATTAATGGTATAATTTATCTAGTACCAGGTATTCATATCACTTAAGCTCATGAAATAAAATATTAAATATTTTTTAAAAGATGAATCTGTCTATTTCTGTCATCATTATCTCTTTAAATATTTGAAATGTCATTTAATTGAATTTTTAAATGTTCATGGAGAGTATTGAATGATATGTAATAGGAAAATCTATACGGTGCATGTGATTTGTTTCGTGGAAATATTAATTTCTCCTATCTCCAATGCCATTTACTTCATCTTCCACTGCAAGGATTTTCTGTTTTCATTTCAGTCTGTTCTAAATACTCTGATTTTAATTTAGGTCAGCAAATACATATTAAATACTACTATTACCAGTCACTTTGCTAGGCACTATAGAGAAAAAAAATATATAAATATGAATCAGAAATATTCCCTGCCTTCAGGGAATATATTGAGGGAGACAGGTTTGACTTTTCGCAAAATACAAAATAAATAAAGATATCATTGGGCACTTTTCTTACGCATTTAAATATCATCTGATACATTTCAGGTGTGGTAAGCTAGCACAATCAAAGTTATTGGGACCACAATGACTGGAGCAATTAAACCCTGTCTGAAGGAAGAAAAGGAAAATGACATTTAACTCTATGAGCCTACTCTGTCATATGCACTGTGCTAAATATTTTATGTAAATTATCTCATTTAGTCCTCCCAACAACCCAGTTTTACAAAGGATGAAAGAACAGCTCAGTAACATTAGGTAACTTTCCTAAGTCACAAAGCTTGTTTGGTATGAAGACCAAATTCAAACCTAGCAGAAGCCATACTCTTTTCAGTCACCTCAAGGAAGGTAGTGGTATGGGTTACAGTTGAGTTAAGAGGACAACTGGCAGCTTCTGATTTAGACCAGACTGTAATGTCTGAAAGAAAGACTTTGGGTTAATAAAACTTTATGAAAAGGAGTAAAACAAATAGTAGTCATAATCTAGATCCACCACTGGGCAATTGGTGGGCACGTGATCACAGGGATCAAAATGACAATTTGTACACATGAATAAAGTGTCCAAGTTGTTGATGAAAGTAACAAAAGAGAGTAATAAAAACTAATGTTTACCTTTCAAAATGACTGTACCCATCCTTTGGCTTCTTGAATCTATAATGGAAGGTTACCTTTTGTTCCAATGAGAAAAATTAATAATAATAATAACATCTATTGAATACTTACCAATGCTGGGCTTCATGCTAAATACATGTGCCCTACATACATGTTGAATAGAGATTGAGATTTACAACAAGATTCAGCAGGTTCAAATCTTGTTTTCACTGCATGTTAGTTATTACCCGCTACAAGTTACTCAACCTCTCTGGGCCTCAATTCCTTCATCTAAAAAGTGAGAATGTGATAAATAAACACCTGGTAAAAGTTAGCGATTACGCAGGTGGGATATGTT